GGGGGGGGGGGCAATTCAAGCTGAATAAGCAAGACACCTGAGGAAGCAGCAACATACTCTACTTTCTACCCTGTTTAGACAAGAGATTTTTTTTGCACTCTTTCTTCCTATTGAAGATCCCATTATATGACCAAAATTATATGCACACCCAAACAGTACACCCATATATGAACGCCAGTGGCGGGCTGTGCATTTTATACCTGGGCCTTCACTGCTGTCCTGCAGCTGAAACACCTCATTATGACGCAACATCTACGGTTATTGTTTGTTTTGTGTAAAAATGAAGCTCAACACCTATAAATACACTAACTGCAGAGTGCAGATACATACGCGAGAGTGTCTCCTCTCTTCTCTGACTGCAGCTGGGACTGCTGTGCGAGGCTGCTGTGAGAGTAACCGCCTGTGAGTGCTTTTTATAAAATAGCTATAACTTTGTGATTCTGACTAGACCAGCAGAGAAGGTTTGCTGGCCCTGACGGCCCACCACTGATGAACACGCACATGCCATCCCAAAATACTCATGCTATACCAGCATCCACTTTTAGGTTTCAGGTTTTCCCCCAGATATGGAACCTAGCTGCAGGCATCTGCTCCCATTCAGACAAGAGAGTATTAATGTTGGGATGTGGGAATAAATCCATAAAGCATAGTATCACAATATTTTGCTTGGCAATAATTGTGATAATTGTATCGATCGCCAAGTATCGATCTTTTATTATATAAACTATACACATACATTGCAATTAGGGATGTCTGGATTTACCGATTTGACGGTAACTGCGGTTCTATAAGTCACCGTTTGTTATCCATAAGAGGCTTCCATATCTATAGTGCATTGAGACACGTTGTTTGTGTGTGCGGTGAAATCTCCTTGTGTGCCAGTCACGCTGGTTTGTTTTGTGTGTTTGAGAGAGTCGTGCCACTCACTTAAAGCGTTGCTGTAAACAATTCAGAGGGAGTCAACACTAGCCTTTTATCCGCCATAAAGTGCCTTAAATCGGCAGTGTGGGAGCATTTGGATATAGAAAATGACCGAGTCATGTGAACCGCAGATTAATTGCACACCTTAAGCATCATCGCGTGAAAAAGTTTTATCGATCTGCATTAATGCTTTCTCATCGCTCGTCTTATAATGATGCATTTGAACAACAGAGGATACGTTAACGTTAAGATGAGTGAACTTGACCTAACACTAACTCTAAGCAGCTTATAATACATGATTAAAACTAATTATGAGAAGATTATGAATACATATACAATCTTTTATTTCCTAATCATTAGAACTGTGTTTTTATGCAAATCACCACTATAGATAATAATAATTTCACACTGCTGAGCTTCAAGTCCTGCTGTCAGTCATCTCTTAAACCGATATCTGCAAATAAATGCAAAACTGAAACTGTTGTGTACTTTTCACATTTTATAGGCATAACAATGAATCGCGTCGTTGGAAAAATATTTGACACAAAAAATGAAAATACTTGTTAGTTGTAGCCTCAACTCACTGGTTCTCTTTGCACCACCCATTGAAGCTCTATTGTTGTCCCAATAACATATTACTTTAACAACCACTTCCAACAGACCTCTTGATTTAGTTGTTACGGAATATTTTTCTTCCTTCTCTATTTCGTCTATTTTGCCTTTAGGAACCTGCTTTATTTTATCTTTGAGTAAACATTGCCATTACAGTACACACAGACCGGTTTTACTTAACAACTTTTTTTATTCATTCTGCTCTTTTCTGGAGCTATTTTTATTTCTATCCTGGCCTTTTTTTAATGTTAAAAGTTACCGATATTAGTTTTGTCTTTTTCCTATTACAGTGACACATGGCCCTGCTTTACTCAAACCATCACTTCTAATTTGTCCGGTGAATCTCGGGTTTCAGTTAAAGAAGCAGTTTTTATCTCCTGTGTGGAAACTCGGCGTGGCTGTGTGATTTTCTCCTTGTGTGTGTGTCCTGGAGAATAAACCAAAGTGCTGTTAAAATGCAAAGCAGCCCCCTATGCAGCCATGTGGGGGAATAGAGGCCATATTTTAGCCGCGCTCCCCGTCAGCAAAATGTTTCTGTGGGAAAGCTAATTCTACTGTGAGACTTACAGCTCTGCCAGGCGGGCCGACAGCACTCGATGCTATCAGGATTAAATTAAGGTGAATTAGAGACAAAGAGGCAGAAAGAGGGGGAAAAGGGATGATGTTAGGGCAGGATTTTCCTCCAGCTGGGTGATCACTTCTTAGTCTTAGGTCATTGATCAGAGCAGAATAAACCAGCCGGGATTAAAGTAGACAAGCACAAAACCTATAGAGGCTATATCTGTGTGTATGTGTGTGCTGTGTGGGAATCCATTGTGCTGTGAGGATGAATAAGTGTAGCAGTGGAGTGGAGTAATGGAGAAAGTTTGGTTTGGTGTCCAAAATGTTACACTTCTGTTTAACAGCATTCTCTCAGCTTTTGTTTGGGGAATAAATAAAATCAAGTGTCAGTATCTCACACTTCCTTTCTTAGATTAAAAGGATCATTTGTAGTAATAACGGCTCTGTTTTTATCCGAGTCGGGGGATTTTTTGCGTACAAGCTTTCGCTTTCTGCAGCATT